TCTATGTGCCAATAGCAATAATAGGGCCGACCAAACTGACTCGTGGAAAGATGATAAGCCCTCCAGGCTTCCATCCCAGGTTTGGAAACAGGCGGTATCTACCATTCTCACATTAGCCAACACACAGAGGGATGTGGAATGAGAGTATATAGGGCCAGAAGTGATGAAAAACATACTTCACATTGCAATTCTGTGAAAAATCACCTGTGGGAGTGTGGTGGTGGGAGAAATGGGCCCACTGACCTAACCAGTAAAGACTCACGTGAGTAGCAGCCAGGGGCTTGACTGGGGCAGGGATATAAACCTGCTCATCTGGGCTTGAACAGATCAATGCTGGTGAATTCCATTCACAAGAAAAAATGAATACCTAATATTTTAATTCAATGGATAGCTTGATGCAGGAGTCTTTCCATTTTATTATATCCTTGAACTATCCAATTTTCGTAGGCTTTTAACCATCTGCTAGTCATTAATATCCCTTTGGAAAGCCAGGAATTTCTTTTCCCCCCAAAGACACATCAGTTTCCATGCTTCCTTGACACTTCACAGAGCCTCCAAGAAAATCTTTCCCAGCTACTTACTAAAACCTATTTTTAGGGAGTAGATTTGCTGCTGAAGAATAATTTCAGCTTTTCTTTCCATGCAGACATTTTCTGTGAGGCCACAGAAACAATCTGTTCACTCAGGTGGCATAAGTGCACATGGTCAACGTTCATCTCCAGGAGCTGTCGGTGAGGGTGAGACTTATGGCAGCCAGTGGCAACTACCATCTGAGCTCGGTTGCATCTCCCATTATAGCCAATGAAGACAAATAGTCACTTACAGAGTTTGAGGCATCTGCCTAGATCATAGAATCATAGAATTGTTTTTGTTGGAAGAGATCTTTAAGATGATCAAGTCTACTGTTAACACAAACTGCCAGGTCACCACTAACCCATGTCCATCAGCACCACATCTACAGATGTTTTAAACCCCTCCAGGGATGGGGACTCCACCACTGCCCTGGGCAGCCTGTTCCAGGGCTTGACAGCCCTTTCAGGGAAGAAAATTTTCCTCATGTTCAATCCAAACCTTTCCTGGTGCAACTTGAGGCTGTGTGAGAAGCGGGTGCTTCTTCTCCACTTTTTTTTCCTTTTTTTTTTTCTTTTTTTCTTCTTATCACTTGTTACTTGGGAGAACAGACTGATCCCCAGCTCACTACAACCTCCTTTTTGATAGCTGCAGAGGGTGATGAGGTCTCCCCTTAGCCTCAGCCTATTTCCCTTCCTCCTGGAGAAACCCTGACACCATAGTGCTAATGTAGCCATCTGTCTTAGGATGGGATGGATCACGGCCTGACTGCTCTTGACTGATTGTAATGGGAGCCTAGTGCAACTAGCCGGATGAGTGGTGATACTTCCTGAGCCTAATGGTGGACAGGATGGACATTTTTTCTGACCACTTCTGCTGGAGAAGGAGCTATGTCTGTTCTGTGTGACAGGTCTAAAAAGGATCAGTGGGTTCAAGCGTGCATGAAACTTTAGCTGTGCTCCTGGACGGCTGATGGCACAGTGACCTCAAGGCTGGAACAAAACCCCAGCACAAAATAAAAAACTGAAAATGGACAGAGAGGTACTTATGGGGCTGAAGGTGGATTCATGCAGCCCCTTTCAAATAGACTGAAAATAAGCACAAATACTAATGGCCTCTTCAATGGTTGGAGAGATATTATTGTTAATGGACTTCCGTCCTCACTGTCCACTCTGTGCCTACAACCTGTTTGGTGTCATTGGCAAAAGTGAGAGAATATTGCCTAAACTCACCTTGTCTGAGTGCGGTAATGGGCAACATGGGCACTCCTCTAGGCACTTCAGGTGGCAAAGCAGTAAAATATTTAGGGGGTTAATGGCCAATAGTGTTTCAAAATAGTCCAGAGCAAAACATCAAAACCAATTTTCGAAATGCCAGAACAATGTCCTGTGTGTGTTGTGTGTTTTCTGCTCCCTGCCCCCTCTTTTTTTTTTTTTTTTTTTTTTTTTTTTTTTTCAGAAATAGGGGGAATAAAAAAGGAAAAAAAAAAAACCAGTAAAGACAAAAGTGGGAGGATTTAATGGATCCATACAAACCCTGCACTTGTTCTACTTCAGCTCCTTTTTTATTATGAAGGTGGAAAATTTTGTTCTTGCAGTTTATAGTCTTGTGATATTACCTTTGTACAAAAGTGGGGAAGGTGGAGGGAAGGTGGGGAAGGCATTTCTGGTAAAACCTATCAGCTTTTATTCATCATAGGCTAATTCCCAATCTTTGTATTACGGGGCCTTATTTACATTACATTATCATTTCATTTATGGGCCCCTCGTGCTCTCAATCACTTTGGGGAGCTCTCTAAATTTGCCTTTCATTACGTATTAATGAAGTGTTAATAGCTCACCCAAGCCATTTTTGAGCAAACAGCACGTGATGTGTTTGTTTTGTGCAAACAGCCCGTGTGCTTTGCTAATATATGACCAGTGGGGACAAGGCATATGCCACCTTACTGCTAATTTCTTCTTCCATTGTTTGCTTTGCTTGCACACAACGTTCCAGCCCTTTGGAGGCCAGTGTGGACCTCTTTGCAGCAAAATTAAGCTCTGTACACCACATCTGGTGGCAGAGGGCAGGAGAATGGGGCAAGGTCATTGAAAATTGGGCAGTTTCTCAAGACTGATCCAAGGCAGGTGATCTTCTAGATTTGCAGATGTCTGGCAGCTGGTTTGCTGGATGTCCAGAAATCAGGTAGAGCATTGCTTGAAGGAGCAAGAGTGGTGGATTGCTTCTTGCTGCCCAGATTGGTAGGGCTGGAGGTCTGAGTCTGGGCCATGCTCTTCAGCGTGCTAAGGGATTTGGGGATTTTGACTTGCCTTTTACTGCCTGTCCTCTAACATTTAATTCTGTCAGCATGTTTACTGCTGGTTATTGATTTCTGGTCTATAAATTAATTAATTAATTAATTAATTTTAAAATTACCCTGATGAATGAATTGAGCTGGGTGAAAAAGGAAGATTTGCATCCACGAGCAACTTTATTCTTCTTTGCTATTTATTTATTTATTTTTCCAAATGCAGAATTTCCAAATCCAAGGGGAAGAAAGCAACTCCCTTTTTTTTTTTTTTTTTTTTTTTTTCCCCAGTTCCCACTCTACGGGAGGATTTCATCACCTTTTTCTCTCCAGTAGTCAGGAAACACACATTTTCCATATTCCCTTCTGTGTTGCCTCTTATGTGATCCTGAGTTCCGGTGGGTTTGCCAAAAAAGAGCGAGAGGATGAGGAAGGAATAAGAACCTATGTAAAATGTGCTACACTTTTTTACCCTCCCTTTCTTTTTGTCTTCACCTGTTGCCTGACACCCTCTGCCCTGAGCTGGCAACACTTTTGATCAGGGCTCCTGCCATACAGAGAAGAATAGAATCTGAAATTCCAGGAGATGTGCTCCTGGGCATTATGCTAACCAAGTGAGCTGTTGCAGAGTCAGACTGTTGCACTCATGCAAATGATGGGAAAAGGGACAGTGATGTATGTTAAAAACATTTTCAGGAAGATCTTATTGAGAGGTCCTTAATACATAAATCTTAATTTCAGATGCCTGCGCTGTGAGAGGAGGAGATAAGGCTTCTGCAGAAGGCTTTATTGTCCTTAAACCAACCATCCCTGAGCAATCTCCAGGGCAACAGGACAGGGCAGAAGGGAGCTGTGGAGGGGAAGATGGAAACTCTTGTTCTGCATAATGGACCCCGGTCATCTGGAAGGACGTGGAGAACCCATGCCTTCCTGATGAGCAGACCTTGTTACAGATGCAGCATTCTCATTAGCAAGGAATGACATCTACAGACCCCTCCAAAGGACAGGGGGGTGATTCTTGCAGCCTTTGTAGCCCCTCCTGGGCCATGCTGTGTTGAAAGAGCCACCCTAGAGTTGAGTCGAAGTGATGTTGTAGCACTCAAACATATTCAAGAAGCACGGTGCCTCCTTTCGTAAATGCACCTCCCATGAGTTCTTAGGGATATGTGACAGGATGCAACCCTCTTACAGCTGACCTTTTAATAACAATAAAATCACTCAGTGCTTTATTTTGATTTATCAGTGCACAATATAAAGGGATTATATATCAAAGGAGGCACTAAAATGATAAGCCTAATAAGAAGAGACCAATGGAAGATGGGGAATAACTGGAAGAACTTTAGTTGGTATTTTCAGTGAAAAGAGATAGGAAACCATGGTTTATCTTGAGTGGCCCTGGGAATGATTTTTTTTCTCCTTCCTGACAGCTGAAAATGCAGAGATCATGTCAAAATAAACTCATTTTCAAAAAAATATACAGACTATGTGGAATCTATCTCCAATAATTGGGGTACTGGAAATTTTCTGAAGATTTCAGCTATGTTATTTTTTTGCATTTAAATTATTTTGAAAGAGGAGATTTATCCAGAGCCTTCATATATTTTGATTTTATTTCTTTTTTACTATCAGTGTGCTTTGATCCATTAGCATAGCAAATATTCAAAAGTTAGAATGACAAACACTTAAATATTTTCTTTTAAGAGAAGAAGGTACGAAACGTGCAATCATTGCTCAAAAGCTGCTATTTTATGCCCTTTCCAAATGTTGATTATAGATGCTAGGGGGGACTGTTTTCATGCCCCACCAGTGACTTGTGTAGAGTCTGCTGCTTGGGAGAGATAACCAGCCAAGGTGGAGCAACTCCTATTGTCTTCAGTTGTGCAGTGGGTCCTGAGGACCCTGGTCATGGTTGGTTGCTGCACAGTGGTACATGGTCTCTCCAGTGGATCTTGCCTTGGAGCACCAGCCATCTGGGTGATTGTCCCTCTCTTAGCACCTCTGTTTAGTCTTTGGGCATGGTAGGGAGCAGCCACAGAGGGCCAAGGGAGTGATATTAGAAGAAGACATCAAGGTAAACCCTTAGGTTTGGTCTGAAGTGAAGCTTGCTGGTGTTCCATATTTGTTCTGCGCTCTCAACACATAGGTCATTGCCTACAGAGAGCGCAGATGTTGAGCCAGGCTTGGCAATCAGATACCCCAGCAAGTCCCCCAGCTTCAGTGTCAGTGGTGGTGAACCAAGGCCAGGAACAGAGATGGTCCCAACGATGGACCCACAAGAGCCAGTGCAGTCTGTCAGCCTCCTTTTGCAGGTAAGAGGCTGAAGCAGGCAGATAGCAACCATGGTGTTTGGACTATGCTTATCAAAGTGGCCTGTGTGGCAACCAAAATGATTTGTAGGTTTGAGTTAGGTTTGAACAGATTCAGTAAAAGATGCTGAGAAAACTTTGGAAATGTCAAAACGTGAACTTTTTTTCCCCCTCCTTTATAGATTGCTGAAAGTGAGTGTTTTGCATTTTTAAGTGATATTTAAAGAAATCCTCATTTCAAAACAGCCTTTGGGTTACAAAGATTGACTTATGGTAAAAGAAAAAAAAGCCGTAAAACATGCCCAACCATTTTGTACAAAACTAAAGGCTTGGAGTGATTTTTTTTTTTGGTCACTGTTTAGCCAGAAAGCAGTCCAAATTCTCCCTGGAAGATCACAGACACTGGAAGATCACAGGCACTGGGGTGGGGGGAATGAGGTAGACAGAGAGAAATGTCTCTGGAGAAATGACCCAGGTAAGAGCACGTGAGATGAAAGTGTCTGAGCAGGTATTGACAGGACTCCTGACACTTGTAACCCCAGCTGAAATGAATACTTCACCATACTCCTCAATGAGGACCTTCCTGAAAGATGCTTTTGGCTTTGCAATTTCATCCTGTTGGCTAGGTTAGGAGCTGAGGTCCTCACTGAGTGCTTCTTAGTGAGATGCTGGGGAACATTTAATTTCTTATTCCAAGAGAGGAAAATAAAAATCAAAGAGGGAAAAGCTGAGTTCAAAAGTTTGTTTTGTGTTTTCTCCCTCAAGTTCAGCTGACTTCCTTTTACTGTAGAGTCAGTTCATCCACTTACCTGCCTGCCTGAGGAGGACGGTCCCATGGACAGAGATGGCCAGAAGGTACAATCATCTGATAGCCCACCTGAAACCTCTGTCACTTCTTTGTTGGTTGTAGAGGATTATGAAGCAGTGGGCTCTTCCTCTATGTTTTCAGCTAGAAATCTAAATTTAGGAGGATGAATTTGGCCATCTTTAAGTAGTATTATGTTGCAAAATGCAAAACCAGGAGTGCTTTTTATACCTCCCCGAGGGTTTTCATACCGGTGGCTGCTTTCCTCTACTTGATTACAGAAAATATTAAAAATATCCTTGGACCTGGATCACTCTCTTGCACAGGTTCATGGCCAGCACCAGAGCTTGTGCCAGCACAGATGGTGTTGTTAGACGTGAGAAGAATATAAAGAAAAAAAAAAGACAAGAGAAAAGTGCATTTCAAGAGTCGTCAGCCCTCCGACTTTGAAGTGTCAGGGCATGTTTGCTGCAGTCGTGTCTCCAGGTCCCCACAGAATTGTTGAGAGGAAGAAAGCCATGTTCAGAAAAGCTGCCAGATGACAAGACCTGGGGATGTATGGCACTGAGCTATCACACGGTGCTTTGCTTGCTCAAAGTGAACCTGCAGGCAGGAGAACAGGGATGGGGGGCTGTGTCTTTGTGAGGGCTGGGGGAGAGCAGGAAAGGGTGGAAGATTCTTCTAAATGCTTTTAAATACCTGGAAAATCTATCTTGTGCTGCTCCCTTCAAACATACCCATGTTTTTATGTCTATACACATATTTCTATGTGAATAGAAACCTCCTTTGCAGTACTGGTCTATGAGCAGCCCACCAAACTCATGCAGCTTGGTGGGCCTGTGGGCCATACAGATGTGAAGCCCTGAGTTTTCCAAAGCTGTGCACAGAGGATCATAGAACGGTTTGAGTTGGAAAGGACCATAAAGATCATTTAGTCCAACCCCCTGCCATGGGCAGGGACACCTCTCACTAGACCAGGTTGCTCAAAGCCCCATCCAACCTGGCCTTGAACACTTCCAGGTAGGATGGCATGCAGGTGATCTTCCTTGGTGCTGTGGTGGCTTTTCTGGTGTGACTTACAGTGGTGTATGAGCTCTGGAGGGCTGCCAGTGTGCAGTTTCCTCTTGCCCCAGCTAGTTGCCCTGAAGCAGAGCTGGCACAAGCAAAAGCATACTTTACAAACAGAGGAGGATCCTGGTGCAGAACACGTCCAGATGACAGAAAAGAAACTCTCAACCTCTAACTAGTAGTGGCTAACCTCTTACAGTTGCAGGTTTAGGCTCCTGGACCAAAACTCAGACATTACTGAGATCCATCAGCTAATATCAAAACGTAGGGGCTGTATTTACAGGTGAAAAAAACCTCCTGTAACTTGGTGCCACCCAGCTGCTGGGGCATGAAGGATTCAGCAGCAAGTCAGCGAGATCCTCAATGTAGTTGTACCCTTGGGACACTCTTGGGACCTGCTCCTCAAGTCTTGTCAAGGTTTGGTATACTTTCTTCCAGCCTCAAGAAAGCTTATTCTGGGCAATATAAATACAGAAGCTATTTAGGTGTAGAAATAGGTAACTCTAGACTAACCCTGACTGATCTCTTTGCTCCAGTGTCTTCTGCCATGAGTTTGCCTATGGCTGATTCATGGCCACATGCTGGTGTGGACAGTCATGTGCTGGATTTGGACATCTAATAATGTGCTAAAGAAGCATTTTCTGAAGTTGTCTGAAAATCAGAAACCTGTAGATTATTGCTGCTGATGACCTTTTTGCTCCTGTTTATGAACAAACTCCATCCTACAGTGATGATTACACACAGGAAACCAGAAAGAGCCAGCTCTTACCCCAAAACCAGAGGCAACTCTGAAATGCAGCAAACCCTGGGTTTCAGTCCCATCCTGGTGTGAAGAAGAGCCTGCTCACCTCCAGTGATGAATGACCTGACCAGTCCAACGGTGGGTGGCAATGCCATTCCCAAATGCCCTTTGATTCTTGCAGTCTGAAGTCAGCTACGGGGGTGTCTGAAATTCATTACAGGGATGTGGGAGCAGCTTTAATTAAAAATTCCATGACTCAGCAAAGTAACCAGGTAGAATAAGAGGCAGTCTCAGCCCAGAAGAAGTTGTGCCAGCAAGCGAATGGAACAGGACCTCGGAATTGTGTCTTTTCCAGTATTTATTCTCCAACCGTGTGATCTGAGCCCACACATTTAACCTCAGTGCCTTACTTGTCCCCCTTGTAAAATGGAGGTAATATTTTCTGTAGCTGGCAGGAGATTTCTGGTGGGAAACACCATGTAGGTGTGAAGTGCAGCTACTGCAAATGACTGCAACGTCCTTATTTCTGGATATGCTTCAGCTGCAAATCGGTTTAAGTACATTTTTTCATTAAAATCTGGGTCTGCAGACTACATGGAGGAAGATTTGTGGAAGCGATTTCATGAATGCCTTTCTGACTGCATTGTGGGGTGTATTTGCACAATCTTCTGCCAGCCTGTGACCTGCTGTGGCTTATTAACCCTCTGCCTTGATTATCTCTGTACAATTGATGAGCAGTTTTGCTTGTTAAGGATGCTTTTCTGCCAGGCTTGTCACACACCAGTTTCAAGTTTAGGTCTTGAAGGGTTTTGAAGCTCAGATTGATGGTAGATGATGAGGTCTGGTTATGTAAAACTCCTGGAGGACACGAGAGCCTCCTGGATGGAAAATAACAGCATAATGATGAGCTAACAGACCCTTCTCATCTGCTCTGGGAGGCAGAAATCAAAGCTGTATTGTGGTCCTGCTGGCTTGCAGCATCTCACTTGAGGGACTGGCTCTGCTGAAGAAGCTCACTCTAATGATCTGGTTGCTGACTTTCTCTGCCCAGGAAACCCTGGGGTAAGAAAACAGTTTCTGAACTTGAGGCTAAAAAACTCTGCTCTGTGACTGAAGAGGTGCACTCAGAGGCACTCGAGCAGCCTGAGCAACGTGGTGGGCCAAAGTCCAAGCCCAGAGCTGTATTTTGGCTGCAGTTCTGCTTTATTTAATTCCAGAGTATTGGAGATGAGCTGGTTTTAAGCCTGAGCATGCTGGGTCAGTAACCACAAGGACACAGGGCTTGCCCTGTTCCTGTTTTCCTCCCCACCCTTTGCTGAGTAAATCCTGACAAGGATGTGATAGCAGGGCTTTGGAAGGCTTGTGTGTTTACAAACAACATGCTGGAGGTTTGGAGGTGCTAGGATTTGCGGTTTATGTAGTAGGCTGGTGGTTGGAACCCCAGTTCCCTAACAGAACCCAAGAAATGCTCTTAAAACATACAAAATCAGAATAATTCATGTGATTTCCCTGCCTGGTCCACCACCATTGCAGTAGACTATATTCAAGGGAGCTTCTCTGGCCCTGCAAATTTCTCTACAAATGATCACCGGGTAAAAACAACGGGTGCAAACCAGAACTGTCATGTTTTGACCAAGACTGAGGTCCGTTGTTTCAAAGGGACACACTAATAACCAGATAAATTTTTAAGCAGGTCACTCTGCAGAAGAGTCTCTGTCTCTGCTCTCAGAAGCAACTAAACTTTTCTGTCTTGAGCCCTCATCTTTCTGGAGGAGAGCTGAAGGCATTGAGAGCATTAGATTGCAAACCTGGACTTTTTCCAGGCTGCAGGTGTGGTGTTGCCCCATCCATGCTATGCAGTGGAGGGATGGGAGGGTGCTGCACCTGGTATTTTCCTACCTGGACTGTTGTATCTCACCGCTGCATGGGTGCACACAACGTTTCAAGACACACATCAACCAAGCTAAAAAAACCCTGTAAGGACCACTGTTTCAGGTGGGCTGTGTGATGTGCTATGCCAGGCAGTGGCCCTGATTTTCTGAAGGGCCATCAGGCTGGAGAACTTGCACCTATGGGGAGAACCCATCTGAAGGCACATTACTTAAGTTCTCCACATGTCCCTTTCTCCTGTCCGAATATATTCACCATTCTTTGGTTTTAACACTTTCCAACTACATATAAGATGCTGTCCGTGGTTGTGGCTTTGGTTACTTTCTATGAGGAATGGAGAAGAGGGCAAATTTTTCTGTGCTTCCATCTTAGAAGCAGTCTTCTGAAAATAAGCCAGTGGCTTCTGGCTATGGCCCCTATTTAAAACATGATGTGATAAGTCTACTCTGGCCTATTGAACTGGCATGGCAGGACAGGTCTCCTGAAAGCACTTGATTTAATACCCATAATATTTTGATTAAAACATTGGTCTTATCTGGCACAACCACATGAGGCAGAGCCAAACCTGATTCACTGTCAACTTAAAATGTTGCTGTTTCCTTGGCTACCCTCAGGGACTAGTCCTTGGTCCAGTGCATTTCAATATATAGTTATCAATGATTTAAAGCTGGGTCTTCTCCACTGCAGGTGGCATGATGAGTGATGGACAGCAGGCACTGGTGAGGGCAGGTCACTGTCGCAGGGTGATCTCAATCCCCTGGCTAAGCACAGCCCATGAAAATGCACATGAAAAACAGCCCAATGCGAATTAATGCATCTGCCTCCAAGCAGAGGCTGCAAATCAGACCCACAGGCTCAGGGGAGGACATCGAGGTCATCAGGTAATTGTCTCAATAGCTACTTTCTATCACAAGAAAGAAGGGACCGACGCCTCACTTGGAGATAAAAATCTCCCACGAGTGCAGGAGCAAGACCCTGCCTTTCTGCACAAGGTGAGTGACCTGCTGAAGGAAGGGTGGCCAAACATGCCAGAGGGTGGAAAAATTCCAAATATCCAGCGGCTGAGAAGTGGACTTTGTGCTATGAGGCTGAAGGAGTTTACCCTGCTCGAGGTAGAAAAGGGACAGCAAAGAGAGGACCTGGTTGGTGTCAAGGGGACATTTGCTTTGCGGGATGGCTGGAGGAGCTACGCCAGGCCTGGAGGCTAGAAGATGAAGGCTGAGAAACCTCACCCTGGAATAAAACATGCATTGCTCATGGAGAGGACAACATCTCACCATGAATGGCCAAAAATGGGTAGAAACTTTAGGGAAAGCTCGTATGCACTAATATCCACCAGCAGTTGGACTCCTCCCACATAACTTGAGACACGAGCACAGAGGGGTCTGAACTGGTCCCTCTGGCTCTGTTTGGTGCCAAAGGAGAAAGAGAGATGCCATCTATTTGCCCTATCACAGGCACCTGCCTCCAAAGAAGGGGAATTGCACCCAGCAACGCTTGACTTTCTTTTTGTCCCAGAAGACCCAATTTCACCTGGTTTTTGGAGAACAGAGCTGTGCCCAGGCAACAAATCTGGATGGCTACAGAAGGACTCCTTGCTCCTCCTCCAGTAACTGCCACCCAGGCCTATGCTTCACCTTCCCATCAAGTTATTCCCCAAGAACCATGCAAGAATATTTTCCTCCAAACACATCTAGCCATGTTTTCTGAAGTTATTCTTGATCTTTTCCTGGAGCATCATAACAAGCCACCAGCAAGGCTGGACCAGGCAGTATCGAGGATTACACAAGGGCTTCCCTGGGTCACCGTGGTCAGTGCTGAAGTGGCTTTTGTTCTCCACCTAGATGAACATGGGTCAGGGGCGTGTCTCCACTGAACATATCACAAAACCTAATGATATGTTGATTTTTTACCTTTTATTTTTGGTGTGATAATTTTTCTTGTGTACAACGTAGTTTCCCTTGGTTAGTTAACTTTCTGCTGTGATGGGAGCTTCCTCAATGCCTTAGGGATGCTCCAAATCCCAGGCACTACCTCTGAGATCAGCCAAGACCTGGGGGTACCCACAATCCTACACCCTACAGTTAGGGCATGCTCCTGAAGAAGTAAAATCAAGGAGTAGAGAGACATTTTGTTCATCTTCTCCACCAGGTTAATCTCCCAGGTAAGGACCAAGCAGCTGAGGTGAAGAAATACAACATTTTAACAGAAAAAAAAAAAAATCACTATTTAAACACAAAATATTCTTTTATTTGTCACCGAAGGCTACACACAGTCACTTCTGTCTGTTTGCTTTCTTTTTTTTTCTAGAAGGTATCTACATCTGCACTTATTTACAGCCTGGTTGTATTTACACAGTCAAGAATACAATATTAGAAACACAAAGTGTTGAGAAAAAAAATTTCTCAAAAAATTAGTTCCAGACTTCAGGAAAATTATTACACAGGGTAATGACAAGAGTCTCCGGTGCTGGGCTTACAGATGCAGCTTTGACACCAAGTCCTCTTCTTGGCTGCAGCTGCATTAGAAGTCCTCACACAAAATAAACATATTTTGTTGTTTGTTGGTTTTTGTTTGTTTGAGTTTTTTTTTTTTTTTTTAATAGAAAAGTGTGATTCTTTGATTGGTTATTCCAACAACATCCACAAACTGTCCAAAAATTTTAATTTTCTTTTTGGAAAGTTCTACTGTTTACTTGAACAGTTTCCAGCTCTGAAGAAAAAAAGTTATATATGTATGTATATATATATATATTTAGTTACTTTTCACTTGTGGTTTTCTATGCTCCTCTGCCCGGAAAGCATTGACCTCTGGGATGGGAGTTAGCAATTGAGCCATGTAATACTTTGTCAGGAACACAAAATTTTACAGTAATGAAAGGAAAATAGGCAAGAGACACAAATGGTTTCCCTTGGGTGTGCAGGGTTGTTTTCAGTTTGGGTAGCAGAGAATGGAAAAGCACCATGGGAAATGGCCCCTGGGCCCTTCATCCAGGAGTGAGACTGGGGGTCCTCGTGGTGTCTTATTACTTTTTTAAAAATATATTTTAGAGGGTTTTAAACCCGCTGGTTTTGCCCGGGAAGAAAACACCCCCAGCAGGACCCCAGTAGTACCTCCAGGGTGGTCTTCAGCGAAGAGGAGGGCAGTGGCGAGTAAAGGAGGGATGGGCAACGATGGCTTTCTTCCAAAAGAAAAGGTTTTAATAACATGAAACTAACAAACAAAAAACACCTGAGGCAGGCACTGAAACAGCACCCACCCCAGGGGAGAAGCGAAAGAGCATGTGGCCTTGGGGCCAGGGGTTTTTAACAGGTAGGTAGGTGGGTTTACAAAGATATTGTCCTGTAAGGATACACGGATGGGTTACCTACAGGTCAGGGGTCCAATGGGTGTTAGGGGATTGGTCTTGTGGTGGCTAAGCCAACCACAACCTGGGAAAGGTGGAAAATTCTGGATGTGTGCCCATGTTTGGGGACACAGAGGCAACAGAAACCTCTGTCTCCAGGAGGCGCACTGCAACATCGTCTGTTTAAAGTTCCTCTACAGTCACACATCATTTTATTTAAATATACCCTAGAGATTAAAAAAAAAAAAACACACACACACAAAAAAGCTGTTTTTTTGGTTTTTTTTTTTTTACAGAACTCATGGAAATTCTTCAGCATCATGGTGGGGGATTCCAATATTTACGCAGTGATCATAACACAAAGACTGATTTTGATAAAAAAGATGCTGAAAAACTTGCTGTCCTGTGGAGGACTGTAACAATAGGAGCAAAACCACCCCAGGCCACATTCACCACTGGATGGAGGATGCTGCCGGCCCAATGGGAGCCAGATTTTATCCCACCAAACCCCAGTTGTGGCACAGAGGCATCCAGACTTCCAAGTTTTGGCAGTGCCACCAGAGCGAGGTGATAAAGTGAGTAAGATTTGATGAGCAAAGCTATCTTTTTAGCTCCATTATTAACGTGATAGATGCTTATTTTACCCCTCGTTTAAAAAGTGGCCGTAGGACTAATGGAGGTCCCTGCTCCTGGTTTCAATTATGTGGAGATGGAATCAAACCAGACTGCCATTCCATAAACGCGAGGGGGGCCCTCCCTGTAAATCACAAAATTGAATTCTAAAATTTCATGTTAAGAGCCTTGTCTCTGCATAATGGATTGCACTGCTATCTATCACGGTGACACTTGTAAGTCACAGCTGAAAAAGTACTTGATTCCATTTTATTTTTTTTTTTTTTTAAAAAAAAACAAGTTTGATTTATTCTGGTTACGCTGCCTCTGTAATAGACCGAACAGAATCTCCCACCGATCCCTTCGCTCAATAAAGCAACTGCAGATATATTACCGAAATCCCTCACTGTTTCTAAGTTACGGCCGAATGGTGTCTCAGGGACTGCTCCCAATCATCTGTGTCTTTTAAACCCAAATCAGGCATCGGGGCTCTTAACAACCTTCATCTCATCGGCTCTCGCCCTGTGCTGTTTAGAGTTGTTGGCCCATTTTCATCGTGGCTCTGATCAATAGCTGTGATGACAAAGATATGATGAGCTGCGTGATTCCCTCCGGTCACCGCTGCTTAATGATTTTTCCAAGCTCCAATCTTCAGTTGAAAGGGAAAAAATAAAACAAAGAGCTCAAAGGAAACAACCATTGCAGCATTTCTCGTGATGCCAAATCAGTTTCCTTCTTTGCCCCTGGGGCTAAGTGTGCCGGAGGTTTTCCAGCTGCAGAGCCCTCAAGGCACTGGCTCACGTCTGGATGCCACAGCAAGTTGGTCCCATCACTGTTGTGCCTTCAGATGGAGCATGCCAGCACCAGCTACTGAGGGCTTGACATGTTGGTCCTCACCCACTGCTTCCATCGGGACCTGCAGCGCCTGCTCCAGGCTGCTGGGCTTTCTCCTCCAAGCTGTGAGCCTTGGCCATGATCCTTCCCAACACCCTTCGGACTGCAAACAAGCCCACAAGTTCAAAGTAATTTAAGGGATACCTTTGCATCTTGAAGGGAAACCGTTTTTGGTGCAGGAGCAAATCCTCTTTTGGGGTGTCCCAAGACTTCTAAAAGTCAAGCTGTAAAAGCACACGAGGCAACTGTGACATTTTCTTTTGGTGACAATCTGGCACACAACTGGCCTTTGAAAGAACATCTATGGGATATCGAGGTTAGTGCCATGGGATTTGCACCCAGGACCTCCCAGTGTTAGAGACATGAGGATCTTCCCATGAGCGAAGAGAGAAGGGTTGGGTTGGGCAGCCACAGCCTGGCCCCATGGGGAGGCAAATGGGACAACACAAGGGCTGGGAAGGGGCTATGGGGCCATCAGTCACATGGAGCTGGTTGTGGGTAGTGGGGTGCAGTCCCTCAAGGAGGGCACAACTCTTTGCCTTCACAGCCCATTGCTGCAGCTTCCACGGGAATGCTCTTGGGGTCCTGTAGAAAAAGCATTTTTTCACAAACAAAAGGTGAAATCTAGGACTTGAGGATTGAAAATGTTTGTTTCTTGTTTTGCCAAGTGGAAAGCTTTCAGAGAGGCTGAGGATCCAGGAACGTAGTAGCTGTCTTTGGACAGGTTTGTCCCCAACACTAGAAAGCCATCCCTTTTAATTTTTTGGTTTGATAAAGGGAGGAGCAATACATACATATATATACTTTCACATACATTTTTTTTCCTCTTTTTTTCACATAATGTCCATAGTTTCCAGGAGAAGGAAGTCTTCCAGGAGAAGACCTCTACAGACCCAGCAAGCAGACAGGCACAGTTGCTTGAGGATGCTGAGAAATGCAACCTGAGGTGCCTTCAGTGTGGCGCAGAGAGGTCTAGGCTTGTCACACCTGTGTGGTGGGACCATAAAGACTCTTGAAAAGTAGGTGAACTCCTCAAAGACATTAGCTCATGTAATAACCTGAAGAGTCTGTGTAAGGCTGTAGAGGTGCCATCTCAGGCTG